GTTGTGGTTTCAGTGTTTGCGGTATGTATGCACGCGCGTGTGTGTCCGAGTTTATGTTATTAAACGCTTCCCTGGTTATTTAACAGTTTCATCATTTGCTTACTTTTCTTAACGGTTAAACTTGTAAACTTGTACCCAACTGTATGTGTTTGTGTGTGCTCTTGTGCATTGAATTGTGGTTATGAAATACACACACACACACACACACACACACACACACAAAATGATGCGCAAATTCTATAATTTTTTTGTTTTTGTTTGAAGTTAATAATCGAATTCATTGAATTGCATTATTCTTGCTTAATTTAAAGTACACTTCAATCACTTTTAACAAAGCATTAATAAGGTCAGATATGCTATAAAGCATTTTATTTATTGACTTTAATTACATTTTTTATTTCATGTAATTATTAAATAAATAAAATTTTATATCTATCTACGATGATCAGAGCAGGCAGAGATTAGAGCATAACTCTAAGTACATATAGCCTGAATTTTCTTCTTGCTTACGTAACGTCAAATTTAGCGAAAAATCAAAATGAAAAGTAAAGTTAGTCGACGCTAAGTCCACGCAGACTATTCAAATTCGAAAGCGTACTATAGTCGGTTAATATTTTGCATATAAAAGGTAATGTTGGATGCTTTACAGGAAGGAAGGCAAGAACTAGAGTGGACAGAAAGATAACGTGGTTCTTTGTTCTTTGTTAAATTTATCTAAGGTCAAGATTCACTTAAATTACGCAATTCATACACTTGAAGACCCTAACTCAATTGCAATTCAAGTAGAAAAAGTCTTAAAATAACAGACCATTAATACAAACATATAAGAAAATAAACAATGTGTCTATCAATTACCCGTCAAACTCCGTCTTAGAATTCCGAATAACACGATTTAATTATTAGTTTATGTAAAACGGTGGCAGTGCACCGGCATTAAAAAGAAGTAACAGGATCTGGTAAGTAAATTAGATTGCTACAGGGAAGCCTAAGCGGATTAAAATGCTAGCGTTGGCTGAGTTTAACGCAAAGAAAGTTCCTTGTCGGACGGACAGGAACATTAAAATTGGCTCCATTAATCAGCTTTATCATAAAGTAATGCCTAAGTGGCGGGTAAGACTGTAAGTAGCAATCTATATCCATAAGGAGGTAGAAAAACACTTGGATCCCAACACAAATCTCTTAAACCGAAAGCAAAAACTTCTTCTGCAAAGATTTCACCTAATTCGACGACGATATGAAGGTGACCATACGACCGAGGCGTCCTTAGCTGCCTTACAGTTTTCTCGTCACCTATCGGTCGTCAAAATCCCTCGATAAGCGTTTAATGAAGCCTAACACTGATCTAGCTCTATCCATAGACTGTTCAGCGTGCAAATTGAATCGAAGTTTAGCTATTGAAACAAGATACCTAAGTCGAGAATTGAATCCACCAGATCTCCAGCTTGAGTGAATCTATAAAATATTCCGTTGCGAACAAGTTCCGCCCCGAAAATAAGGGTATCTCGCATTCTCTGTGGGTTAACCCCATAAAATTGAGGGAACACTACGGTACCATATTATTTACGTCAGCTTGGAGGAGACATGACTAAATTTGTCTTCATCTGCGTACATTAGGATATTGGCAGAATCAATTGCTAAAGGGAGATCATTGATGTATAGAATAAACAGAATCAATCCCAAGTGACTCCCTTGGGAGAGACCTGAAGTGCCAAGAATCTCATTAGATTGATAAGAGTTGAAGAGCACCCAAAAGGAGGATAGCCAATCAATAAAAAGGGGGCTAGTCAATCAATAAAATATGGAGGAGAACCTAAGCGACACAATTTCCATAATATAATAGTTTGCGATCAATTCTATTAAAAGC